ATAATTAGAGATTCTTACCTGAGATCATAAAAACATCAAAGATCCTCCAAGTCAATGCATCCAGGTGAGCCAAGAGGTAGCAAATTTATCTTACCCAGACACGGTTGGGACATGGAATATTTTTGGAAATGGAATGATTTGCAATTGTAGTTATATAATTTATATAATACACACATACACACATGTATGAGGATCTATGATAATTCGCCATGGCTAACTTACCATGGCCAAGTTGCTGCAGGACAAGAGTTACACTAATATCAAAGAAATAGTGGAATTGAATAACTAAAGAAAAGATGCAAAAGAAGGAATAGAATGAAATGTGAATTGGAAAAATTAAAATATTTTTTTTACATTTTAAATAATTAAAGAGAATTGTTAAATTGTCCTGTAGCAAGTTGTCCCATGGCAAGTTGACTATGGTGAGTTGGCCATGGCAAGTTGGCCGCAGTGAACTGGCTGTGGCAAGTTGCCTGATTCTGCATGTATGTAACAGGGAAGAAGAAATTTAGATTTTTTTTTTCTCTCTCTCTCCTCCCCGCTCATCTATGATAAGTATGTCTTTTTCTTAATTATAAAGGCATAGAATTATTTTATTTTAAAACATTTCAATATTTTCTAGAATAGAGTGAATGTTGTTCATGAAATATATTGTAACCTCAATTTTCATTGATTACAGCTGATTTCACCAATGGTCAGCTGAAGGTATCATAAATTTCTTAGTTCTTCTGGGTCTTAATGTCTGTTAGATTCTGTTTCAATGTGATTTTTGAATGAGTCTGTTCATTGTAAAATTACACCTTTAACGGACATTTTGCTTTACAAACACTGATATTCACTCTACAAATAAGAAGCTAATTTGATTTGTTTTTTAATATGAAATTGGGCAATTTACAGCTTAGATGCAAACAGGAATACAGCTAAACAATAAAATACACAAACTGTGATGCAGTTTCTAGTTATGCAATACACCTTCACACAGAGAACAAACCACAAATACCAATTTTAGGGGACAAGTATTTAAGAACATACATTTCAAAAAATATGCACAGTAAAAATTACATTGTGGAAAAAATGTACATAGGAAATGTGCACAAAAATGTTTATGTAAGAAATATTCAAATTAAAATGGTGAATTTTTTATTTCAAAAATTATACATTAATGTCAAAATGGAAAAGGACTGAAAAGTGAACTAGAATTTGATCACATCTGACTCATTCCTAACAGACCTATAATATCTTCTTAATGAATATCTTTGTTTCCCACCTTATAAACCAATTGCCTAAAATCATCAATCTCTCTTCTGTTTGTTTTTTTTCATTTAAGAGTGCTGGGTTTGTGGCAGTGATAGGAAAATTAATATGTAATCCCCCCCCCCATAACCATAATGAGCATTTTCTTTGCAGAAAAATAATATTTGCTTGCGCTCTCCCTCCCTCCCCCCCTTCCTCTCCCTCTCTCTCCCTCCCTCTCTGTCTCTTTCTCTCTCTAACTTACTTCGCTGGGTGCTTCTTGTGGGAAAGACAGGTGAAAGGGGAAAGAATATACACCACATTGCTTTGAGCTCCCGAATGGAATGCGAGATATGGATGCAATGCATAAATAGTGTGAAAGAGAGAAAAGTAGATTTGTCAGACATAAGACAGGCAAGTCTGCTGGATGGTCAAGAGAAAAGGGTGGAGGCTGGAATGTTCTTTCATTTCTCCTCTCTTGCATATTAAATATTGCTTCAGTTTTCTCTTTCTTTGATTCTTTTGTCTGCTGAAATTCCTTCAACTGTTAAATCTGCAGAAACTTAATATTGTTTTGTAGCTGGCTGTCCATTTTCTAAAAGTCTTTCTTAATGGGCATGGGATTATTATGGGGTAGAAGATTGCATTTTATCCCCTGTTTTCTGAAACTTTCATTTGTTCTGCAAGAAGCACTTCAGGAAGTGTTTTGAATCTCCAGATTTTAGTGGGAGATAAATGTAATAAATAAATTAATATCTGGATAAAGGAATAAATGTGTTGCAGATGGGGAGAGGATTCAGCAGAACAGACCTACAGTAATTGAAACATCTTTTTTTCATTGTCATATAGAAACATGAAGGAGGCTTCTGGAAAACCTACCTGTGCAGGACAGGTGATCACATCTTGGAAATGGTGACGGAGATGAAGCAGGTGGTTGAGTCACAGAATCTTAGTATAATTCATGCCTGAAATCCCAATCAAATCTATGTGATGCTGAGATTTGCCAATGGCCTCCAGAATTGAGGCTCATGTCCATGCAATTCCCATTCCTTTGATGAACAAAAGGCTAAGATTTTATAAGTACGCAAGTAACTAAATCTACCGCTGTTCCCAAATTAAAAAGTTAATGAGAAATTGATCATATTCAACCCTTCCTAATCGGTATTTTTTCAGTGTTTCCCATTAATGGGCTAAATACGGCAATTTCCCTTCTTCTTCTTCTTCTTCTTCTTCTTCTTCTTCTTCTTCTTCTTCT